CACCATGAGTGGGATCCACTTATGAAACATCATCCTCTGAGAACCCTGTGGGCACAGTTCTCTGACATGGGGAAGAGGGGAGGCCCTCTGATTTGGGGGCAACTCCATGGCAACAATGGATTTTTCTCAGGGAGTGGTGAGAAGTGAGCAGAGGGGATGCAGGGAGGCCTGCTTGGGCTGCACCTCCCAACACCCTTTGCGGACACCCCTGCCACAGCCCACCTTAGTGGGACCCCTGTTGTCCTGACATCCCCTCCCTCCTCTCTTGTGCAGGTCCAAGCTGTCCCGGAGAAGGTCTGCCCAGATGAGGGTCTGAGTGATGAGGGCCGCAGACCCAGCCCACCCCACCCCTGCCCCGTCTGTCCAGATGGTGGATGCCCGTCAGAGGCCACCAAGTCCATGGCTTCCCACCTGGCCGGGCTGCAGCCACACAGACCCTGTGCTCACAGCTGATGCTTGTTCTTGTCTCTTAAGCTGCTCTGGGGAAGGGGGGTTGGGAAAATGCCGGGAGCCCCAGAGGAGGGTGGGGTGGGGGAGGGGCGCTGCCATTCTAATATTTTTTTAAGGATAGACAGACTTATAATTAATATATTGCTAGTTAGTGATCCTGAAACAGCCCCGAAGTTAACTACTATAAGACGTGTTGTATTTATAAGTATTTATTTCTGATGACTTTACTGACCTAGAGAATCCCATGGACCCTGGCCTTCTTCCCTCACACCCGTTTGTCCCCACATCTGTCCCCAGGACAGGGAGAGATAGGTGACCAGACCTCAGTGCATGGGGACACTGCCTCAGGCTGTGTGTCTGGGGAGGGTCTCCTGATGCTGGGACCAACAGTGACATGTTCTTCTAGTGGGAGGCAGCTGGTATATGACTGAAGGGTCATGAAACAGCTCCTCCTGGGCGTCTGCGGGTAGAGGTCGGGGGTCCTGGGAAGGGTCAGGTGGGAGGGGGCCAGCCAGGTGGCCAGTCCTCATGCTGCTGTGCCGAGCCCCCATCAGCCGCCACACAGATGGGGCTGGACAGAGAGGCAGAGCTGTAGGTGCGATGAACCAGGGCTCCAGGGGATGGCCAGAGTGACCAGTAGCTTGTGGTGCAGGTGAGGACCACACGGAGAGTTCTGAGTGCAGTGAGAAAACCCCACGGGGCATCAGGGTCTGCCTTTCTCAGAGACTGAAGGGGGCCCCCGTCCTGGGAGCACATGACGTGGGCCCCGCCCCAGCAGAGGACAGTGGGTGTCTGAGCAGGGAGGAGGGAGTTAAGATGAGTGGGTTCCTGAGGAATAGTCCCTGCAGGAGACGGGTATGGGGTGCAGGTCCGGCCACCCAGCTCGGGGCACAGGTCAGCCAGCCTGAAGCCCAGCCGTGGATGACCAGAGCCCTCCCAGCCCAGGATGCAGGTGTCTGAGGCCAGCCAACCTGCAGAGCACCTGCGCCTGGGGGGGTGGGGGGCGGAGGGAGGAGATTCCTGAGCTGGAACACCCGGGGCTGGGTCTGCTTCCTCCGTGAGATGCCCTTGGCTTCCTGAACTGCCCTGCAAGGACCCCTGACACACTGTGTTGTGTGTAAGACTGCTGGTTTACCTGCTGGGGACTCTACACCTGTGATGGGGGGCTGCTCGGGGGACCTCAGGACACTCGTGCCCCCTGGAGGGGCTGAGGAGAACCTAGTCTGGGAAAGGTAGACAGGGACAGCTGTCTCTTGGACAGTTCTTGCTGCAGAGTTTGATGCTGCCCAAGTGGTGGTTTGGGGAAGGTGCCCTTCCTGGGGTGGGGGGCACTCCTTCCTTTGAGGTCCAGGGGGTCAGTGGCCTGCTGGGAGTCCCAGGGGAAGGAGGCTCTGGATGCCAGACCAGGGGTCCAGATTCTGATGGTTCCTAAGATGTCAGCTGGTTACTCACAATCCCCTTCCCAGCCCTGGTCTCCTGCACTGACCGGGTTTCCTGCTGTAACACCCCCATGCCCCCTCCCCATTCAAGTTGTGTGAGGGTCCCTGAATGGCACTGTCCAGGAACAAAAAGGGTCGCAGGGCCCAGGAAGTTGGTCCCTCCCCTCAAGTCCCAGGCCTCCTCAGTCTTCTGTCCCACGCCCTTCCTCCTGCTGAGCCCCCAGTCTGTACATACGTGACCACCTGGCCCACCCTCTCCGTCTCCCTGTGTGTTAGGCTGTGGTCTGTCCTGTCTGTGTTTCTAGACTCTGTCCAGTAAGAAATAAACGGCTCTTACACAGCGCAGCCGTCCACCTGTCATGATTCCAGCACCAGAGGGGACAGCTGATGGTCTCAGACCCCCACCGCTCCACCTGGGGGGAACACCTTGTAGAAGGGCAGGAGGGTTGATCTTGGCTGTTCCCCGTGTGTGAAGTGGCCCCAGGTTTCCTCCCTGGGCATGATGATATGTCCCTTCTTGGCATTTAGGTGGCATTCAGGGACTGCCTCTCAGAACCCTGCCTAAGGCCACAGCGGGTCACCGGTCACCTTGGGCTCCAGGAACACATGCGGCAGCCTGGGACAAGCCCTTGGGTGCTGGGTGAGGGGATTCACTGGGGCCTCCAAAGCTGGGCTCAGCCCCAGGACCTGTGGGCCTCAGGACAGCCGCAGGGTTGGTGGGGACTGGGTGGGCACTTTAGGGACATTTGAGTTTATAATCCAGGTGGAGGTGCAACAGGTCAGGGCTCCTTGAGGCTCATACCCAGTACCCCCGAAACAGGTGTGGGCCCAGCCCCCAGACCCTGACACTTGGGGGTTTCAGAGGGCTGAGTCACTGGGCAGTAGCTGACCCCACGACTCAGGCCATGTCCCACTTCCCCCCAACCCCTGATCCCAGGAGAAGCCCAGCAGCCCACAGTCCCAGGAAAGGAAGGACGAGGGTGTTGAGGGGCTCTGGGACTCTGCATTTCCAGAAGGAGGAATGAGGGGGTTGGGGGGCTATGGGGCTCTATACTTCCAAGAAAGGAGAAATGAGGGGTTGGGGGGCTCCGCAGTCTGTTCAGTTGCTGAGGTCCAGGAGCAGGTTGGTGGTAGAAGGAACTGGCTTGTGGACTAGTCGGTGAGGTGGGACCCACAGCATGGCCACCTCAGTGCAGCCCAGTGAACAGGGCTCTGTCCCAGCCCCCACACCAAAGGCCAGGTCCAGGTTCAGCACAAGAGCCTGGGCCCATACTTGTCCTCTTCCAGAACCTTCTGGTGACACGCCCCTGATGGAGACCCCAAGAGGAAGATCCGTACAGTCAGAGAACAGAGGTCACTTTATTTCACTATTTTTAAAGTTACAGTATTCTACATGGAGTCTACGAGACCCTGCTGGAAGCTTCTCACGTCCTGCTCCTCATTCTCTTGACAGTAAGTGCACCTATGGGAAGACAAAAGCTGGATCCCATCAGCCAAAACCAGGCCAGGGGCAGACTGTGGAGCAGACCAGCAACTGCTCATATGCAAGTTCAGGCTGAAGCTGAAAGTATGAGAACAAGTCCACGAGAGTCAAGTTAGAGATCATCTCAAGAGCAGATTTGATGAATTAGACCCCAATGACCGAAGATCAGAAGAGTTGTGGAATGACATCAAGAACATCATTCAGCCAAAAGCAATTTATACACGTACGGCAATCCCAATCCAGACTCCAAGGACATTCTTCAAAGAGATGGAAAAGACAATTACAAACTTTATATGGAAAGGAAAGAGATCCAGGATAAGTAAAGCACTGCTTAAGAAGAAGAATAAGGTTGGAAACCTCTCATTCCCCAACTTCAAAATTTATTACATAGCTACAGTGGTCAAAACAGCTTGGTACTGGTACAGTGAAAGATACATTGATCAATGGAACAGAATCGAGAATCCAGAAATTAACACATCTACATACAGCTATGAGTCGGAACCGACTCATAGCGACCCCATGCACAGCAGAATGAAACAAGGTCCCATCCTGGGCCAATCTCACCACCGCTGCCATACTTGAGTCCATCAATGATGCCACCTGGCCAATCCATCTCGTTGGGGGTTTTCCCCTTTTTCTCTGACCCTCCACCTTACCCAGCATGACATCCTTCTCCAGCGACTGTTCTCTCCAGACAATGTGTCCAAAGTATGAGAGACGAAGCTTAGTCATCCTGGCCTCCGAGGAGCACTCTGGCTGCACTTCTTCCAAAACAGATCTATTGGTTCTTCTGGCAGTCCATGGCACTTTCAGTATTCTCCTCCAACCACAACTCAAAGGCATCAAGTAGATATATGCAAACCGATGTTCATAGCAGCACTATTTACAATAGCAGAAAGATGGAGACAGCCAAAGTGCTCATCAATTGAAGAATGGATAAACAGACTGTGATACATATACAAAATGGAATATTATGCTACCTTGAAGAGTAACAAGGAAGCTGTAAGCTACCACATAACATGGATAAACCTTGAGGACATTATGTTGAGTGAAATTAGTCAATCACAAAAGGAGAAATACTGCATAGGACCACTACTGTAAAAGACTAAGAAAAAGAGCCCATACTAAAGGGGAGGGGTCTTTGCTGGTTACCGGAATCTGGGGCGGGTGGGGTGAGGGGAGGGAGGGGAAGGTGGAGCACAGGATAGTTTGGGTGCTAGGGAGGGGGCAAACCCCCTTCCAAGACTAAGACTCAATGGGAATACATGAGCAGACATGCACTCTGATTGGTGACCATGTTGGTCACTGATAAAGGGAAGTGAGGGAAAAACAGCAATGAAGCTGCATTACAATGTTCAATAGACTCCTATTAACCCGGGGGGAGACCTGGTTGGCTAGCAGTGTGGCAAGACCTGGGGACTTCACTGTCCACTCTAGTCCTCAGTGACATAGCCTCAGGAAAGACAAGAAAGATTACACAAATTACAAAATGAAGAGTGGAAAAGGGAACAAACACACTACAGAAATCTACAGACACTAAATGAGCAATAAGGAAATATTACAAACAATGCTATGAAAATTTACATGGAACACTCTTCTCGGAAGATACAAACTACCCAAGTTCACTCAAGAATTAATAGATAGCCTGAGGAGTACTATACCTACTCAAGAAATTGAATTTGTAGTTAAAATTACAAAGAAAAATCCATGCCCAGATGGTTGCGCTGATGAATTACAGTGTACATGTAAAAACAGTTGAAGTGTCAAATGTCTTGTATATATATGTGTATATGTGTACATATTTATATATATGTATATGTGTATATGCAATATGCTGATGCGATATGCTGATGTGATATGCGATATGCTGATGATACAACCTTGCTTGCTGAAAGTGAAGAGGACTTGAAACATATACTTATGAAGATCACAGAGCACAGCCTT